AAAAGTTTTTGTTTACATAATATATGTGTGTGTACTGTGTATATTTATTATGTCTATATAAATACACACACATGCATGCATTTATATATATATATATATATATATACGTTTATATATTTAATATATTTATATATTATATAATTTCTAAGAATATAAATATATACACGTAAATACATGTAAATATTTTCAAAACATATGCTGTCTTTATATACATAATAAATATACACAGTACACACATATATTATGTAAACAAAAACTTTGATTTTGGATGTGATTAATCGCGATTAATCGTTTGACAATACATGTAATCTTAGTATTTTTGTATTTTCAAAATATATAAAATACTTTTTGCCAATCAACCTCTTTCCTGCAGGCAGTATTTCAAATACATGTGTTTGAAATACTATTTGTATTTAAATACCTATGTATGTTGTACTATTTAAATACATTTAATTTGAGTATTTTTGTATTTAGTATTTTTGTATACTTGTTGATACAGGAAATCAGCAGTCTAATAAAGAGGTTGATTGGCAAAAAGTATTTTATGTATTTTGAAAATACAAAAATACTAAGATTAAATGCAGTCTATTTAAATACAAAATAGTATTTTGTATTTCAAATACATGTATTTGAAATACTGCCCATCCCTGCAAACATGCATGCATATACATACATACATACATTTGATGTATTATTTGTATTGAATGTGCACTTGTGTACTTCAAATTGTAGAAGTAGGCTACTTTTTTTAAATACTGTACTTGCAGATAATATAATATTATCTTTCATGACTAATGAAAGATAATATTTGAATATTTGAATCTTTCATACTTTCATGACTATGTTCCTGAAAACACTTTTTAAAAATGCACTTTGTAATGTCAAATTAAAAGTTTTACTTTAACGTACATTTTTAAGTCATTATGTTTTAATAATCTTTTGTCATAAAGAAATGCACTTATTTTGATAGTTGACTATCATGCACAAAACATACTTTTTGCTGTACTGCTTTATCCTGCTTAAGTGGGTCAAAAAAGCACTCTATTGCACATGTAAATGTAAATTTATTATGTCTGTATAGGTCTTTTATTACGTTTTTAATTGCATTTAATTTGAGTTATTTGAATACTTCAACAAACTAACTGGAAATGAAATAATATATATATTGAATTTATAAATGTGTATGTACA